CATCAAGGGGCAGAAGAAGGTTTAAAGGGCCACCTTGATGCTATTACAAACTGCACACCCATTACAGTATGGTAGGAAAATCACTTCTGCCAGAAACCCGTCATGGGTGTTGGTTGGGGGAACAGAGGAGAGGGTTGCCATTTTAGCTTTATCTTAAAAGGTGGACAAATTTGAACAAACGTTTCACTTCATCCCCTGTACATTATCCTTAGCCAGGAACTCAGTGAAGACTGAACTGAGCTGACTAATCATCAAAAGAGATTTATTGAGACAATATTTAAGAAAAAGCAGTCTGAGTTCAGATCAGATGTTCCTTAGACTAAGGATTAATTTGGAATATCGTGGCTGTCAATGAAATCTTTTCATTTTATATAAATTTTACACTCATTTTTTTTTTTTTTTTTTTGTAATTTGCTTTTCTAAAGATTTCCTTTCAATATGTTTCTTCATCCCCTGACTCTCCTAGACTGTGCTTCTGTTTTATTCACTTATTCATTCTATGCCCATGCTGGGATCCATACCAGCCCCTATTGGTCCAGACCACCAGGTTTAAATTTTTGGTTGAAATAACCCAGGCACCACGCCAATGATTGTGAACAATATCATTTCTAGAAAGTGACCTTTGCACTCTCCCAAAAAGGCTACCTGTACTGGTTTTAAGTAACAGTTGCCAATGTCTTTCCATTTCAGAGACGCCAACCACAGCCTGCTTCTGTGCTCTCAGGCATTGGAAGTACAGCAAAACATTATCAGACCTGCACAGAACTGAAGAGATGCTAATCTTACTCCTGTATCTCCCTACTCTTTGGCTGGGAAAACATCCAGCATATTGTTACCTTTTGGCCTTTAACGGACAGTATTTAAAAGGATTATTCCCATAGCTGTGTCAATTGGACTGGGTGAGTTTAAAAACAAATACACATCAAGACAATGTTTACATTTAAATGTCAAACATTGTATGGGTAGATTTAGTGTTCTTTCCTACCCATGAATAACATTACAAACTGTAATTAATTTACCCATGTTCCTATCTGCACAGCATTATTCTGGGACAAAAAAACACGTGGTGGGGAGAGGCAGGGGAGGGTGGATACTCTATTATTTCTTTTGGAAAAGCTTTCTTAATTGGATGTGTGTTCTTTTCATAATACTGTGAAGATTATGGTTATTTTTCAAACACAAAGGCAGCTGTGTTGTCTGAATAGTGGGTCCATAGACAGCTGCATCGTCTTGCTGGGGTGACTGTGAATTGGTGTATCTGCCCACAAGACATGGGCAAGAGCTTCAATGACTATTTTAATGGATGTCTTACTGTCCATCAGCTGGGCAACATCCAGTGGCACCTGTTGAGTCCAGTACACAGTACAGACCCTAGAATTGGTACAACACAGTTGAAGTGCTTAATGGAAAAGACAGCCCTTGCCCAAATCAATGATCCCTAAGGTGGCAGCCATGCACAACCTAATGTATCAGACTTTTATAAATCTCTGGAACCGTACATAAAATTTTGCACATGTGTGCATTTTAGAGTGAAAAGGAGGAAAGCTGGAGTCTTCTCAAATCCCCGGGAAGAAATTGAAAAATTAATAACCACTGATCTAAAATAATGAACAGAGCATATCCATCTGGCACAGGCGAAAAGCACTTACACCATAACAAATGAGCAAAGTCAAAGCAGTTCAATGAAGAAATGAACTCTCAGGTATGCAAAGGAAGGAGAGGTCAGGAGTCTCGAGGGGTTTTGCAGAAAGTGGGTCCTGGAAGGGCCAACAACGGAGAAACCAACCCGACACCTACAGAACTGGACAGGACATGGTAAGTGGATCGTTGCTGGGGACATGGTAGGGTGGGGCTCTGTAGTGGACTTGCTAGTTTACGCTGTTGTGTAGAGGGGGCCACATTCTCAGCTCTGTCTTTCCATTTGTTGTCCCACCAAAGGTATCTGAGGCCTTTCCAGATCTCTTGAGTTTTGTAACAGAAACCACAATTCTGTATGTTTCACATGAGAGCTGTCAATTTTTTTATATTAAAAATTAATTCAAAATTAAGTAAACAGCTGGGGATTTAGCTCAGTGGTGCACCACCTGCCTCACAAAATTATGCTGAAAGGCTCAGAACTGGCCAATGGCCCCCAGTCTTGAGGCTGGGGTTTACTGAATCCTGGGCACTGCTTAGAGAAGGGTCACCAACATGGAGCTTGTAAAGCTAGGAACAGAGCGATGATCCCCTGCAGAAGGCATCACAGTGGGGGGAAGGTGGGGTGTGCACTGAGAATGGAGACACCATTCCACTCTGTGGGAGGGGCAGAAGCTGGCGGGGGGCAGCTGCAGGGCTCCAGCAGGTGGAAGGCATTCTCTTTCTGAGGTTTGAGGAGAATATATGGATGTCCCTGTATTTGGGAAGGGTGATACCTCTAGGTGTGACTCCCAGCCAGAGATGAGGCCTGGGAAGAAACTGAGGCAGGCCTCTTGTGATTGTATGACTCATGCAGAGAGTTTTGCTGAAAGAAGGGGGCAGAAGAGACTTGAGAGCTTCTAGTGGCTGTCACAGAAGACATGGGCATGTCATGTCACCCATGTAGGATGGCAACGCAAATGTAGAGAGATGATGCTCTTTCCTAACTTTCTGTACCCAACATTTGTCCCCAGGAGGGCAGGAGGAAGACATCAGTGCCTTCCATTCCCTCCGCCTTTCTCCTAGGGAGGAAGTGCTATTTTAGCATACAGCTGCATCTGCACATGGTCTGTGGCCAGGAAGGAAAGGTTGTTTGTCTTATAATGTTTCTCACTGAAGCCCGAGAAGCCCTGGGGCTATGAGAGTTGCCCAGGGGGACAGTAGGAGCCATGGAGTAGAGGGAGAAAAAAGCCATGCTATGGTTTGGATCTTGAGTATCTCTCAAAGGCCGACATGTTAAAGCTTTGGTCCCCAGCTTGGTGCTATGGAGGGATGACAGAAACTTTAGGGGGTGGGCCCTAGTGGGAGGTTTTTCAGTCACTGGAAACTGCTTTGAAGGAGGTGGTGGGACTTCAGCCTCTTTTCTCTGTTTTGCATCCTAACCTTGAGATCAACGTTTTTGCTCTGCTGTGTGTTCTCACCACAATACAATGCTGTGGGCTCAGAGTTGTGGGGCCACCTAACTACGGACTGAAACCTCTAAACCTGTGGGCCACAAGGAACCTTTTCTCTTCGAAGGTGATTGTCTCAGGCATTTGTTCTAGGAATGTGAAGCTGACTGACAGGAACCAAAGGAGGAGCCAGGGGGCAGGCCTAACTCAGGGGCATCTGGAAACCACTGAATGGCAACCACAGGGAATGGTGAAGAGCTGTTTACCTGAGCCTGAGTCCCAGTGGGGCACACTGAAGATCAGTCCTTTCTGGCAACAGACTGAGCCCTTCTGTCTAATTGACCTCACATAACGAAGAGTTTGTTTTGTTTTATTTTGTTTTTTGGTACCAGTTGGCCCCTTGCACTTGCGCGGCAGGCAGTGGGACCACAGCACCAAATCCCTGGCCCCCTGGCCCTTCTTTCTCTGTGGCAGAGAAAGAGCAGTTAGGAGCAAGATATCCAAGTTATAAGGTAAATTGAATGTTTCCTGAGAGACAAGGAATAGTTGGAACTTTGTCTTTTGGGGGTCACAGGAGGTGGGAACTTATAGAGTGAAAATAAACTCATTGAGTGGAGCAGAGGCCATTTCTGTCACCCTTCCTGTAATGGGATTGAGAAGAAAGGAGGAAGAGGAGGAGAAGGAGAGGGCTGTGGAAGAGCAACAAGGAGGACGGGCAGGAGGAGAGGTGAGAGGGAGAAAGAAAAGAAAGTGGGGGAGAGAGCAGGGGAAAGATGAAGAAAAAAGAGGAAGAGGAAAAGAGGGAGGAAAAGGAGAAGAGAGAGGAAAAGGAGGAAGAGGAGGAGGAGGAGGAGGAAAAGGAAGGGAAAGGGAGAGACAGAGAAGAACCCAAGGACTTGCAAGCTATGGTTCTGCTACCATAATCATTCAAGGATCAATTGTACCTGTAATATGGGGAGAAGTAAGAGAAGAATGAAAGAGTAAAGGGAGAAAGAAGAGAATGAGAAAAAGGAAAGACAAGAGGAAACCACTTCAAGTTCACCAAAGCTAACACTACACTCTCATCTGTAATCACGTCTCATCCTTACAAATAGGAAATGACAACCACAGCATGCTAATAATAAAAGAAGTCTTCTTATGTAGGATGGAGAGCGCCGGGAGGAGAAGTAAGAACACCAGCGCTTACACGGTGCTTTACCTTCCTGCGAACATTTCATCGCACTGTTTCCCAGCACCCGGGTGACGGGCGGGGGTGGGAGGCCCCAGTCCGTGTGGCTAATCTGGGGTGCTCTGCGCACATCTGCCTGAGCTATGCATAAAAGGGTCCCACATAAGGTTTGGTGGGACAGACATTCAGGTTCAATGTGTCACCCACTCTCCCTCCTGGCGCAGTCCCTGTGTAAAGGTGGGTTTCAGAACAGCCTAAATACGTTCTGGGTAAGCACACCATTAACAGCGTGACCACAGTGGTCCAGTTCCTTACTATCATTTGAAGTAATTCTTAGCATTCTGTATTGGGATCTTGTATTTCCCACATAACGTTATAAGATGAGATACATAAAGACATCCTGTGTTGTTACAAATTGTTTGTAAGCATTGTCTTAAGAACAGCATGTAATATTTCTCTACCTGCCATTTAATTAAGCACGTTTCTATTTTTAGACATTCAAATTCCAGTTATTTGCAAGTAAGACTACTAAGGCTTTTCTATGGTTCAGATCCTTTCCATAGACCAGATTTCAAAGCACACAATTAATGTCACAGGCAATGGGCAGTTTGGGACTCTCCAGAGCGGCTGTGCGGTCCTGTATTCCCATCCGGGGAGAATTCCAAATCCCCTCTGACAGCAGGGTGTAGTGCCTTAGAATGCTGCACAGGTGGTCCCCTGGGCGGGCCTCCAATTGTCCTCCTCCCCAGGAAGAAGTGACCTGCCTGCCTGCCGAGGAAGACAGGAACGCAGACCTGGGCTGTCTGTGGCTGTGGGTCTCTCACCTGCCCCTGCTGTCTGCCTACACGCCCAGCCCGGATGGTGTTCCCGAGCATGCTCACTTAGCAGTCATTTGGGGACTGTCCCTTCTCCCTCTGACCTGCCAAGCTTGTGGGCAACTGCTGTGAAATTCGCCAGGAAGTCACCTGCCCCCCCCCGAGACAACAGGTTGGCCTTTCAAGGCTCCCCCAAGGACTTTGCAGTGCAGTGCCAAGGTTGCGGTGCCTCCAGAGACTGACTGTGGAGCTCTGGGCCCCCCGCTGTCTGGTGCACGGCTGTACCTGCCCTCAGCTCCGGGCCGGACACCCCAGAAGCAGGTATTCAGTGAGTGTCTGCTGATTCGGTGCACAGCCACGCTGAAGCGCAGGATAAAGCCAAAAGGAGTGTGGTGAGGTTTGGAGCTCTCTTCGAAGCTATTCTGTTTGGAGATGTTTTAAGGGGTATTCGCGGGTGGGGTCTCCCAGAAGGCCCTTCCCTTGGCCAGAAAGGACTCTTCCTTGCCAACCCCACACTTCCATCTGCGTCTGCCTGTCTGTCTGTCTGTCTGTCTGTCTGGTCCTGCGGGGTCCCTGCCAGCCCTGAGCCGAGCAGTGGGATCCAGAGCGCTTTCCCGCGCACAAGGGGGCAGTTTGGACAGGGGTGAAAGGTGGGAAAAGCCAGAGAGGGCAGGGCCTGGGGCTGGGGCTGGGACTCTTCCTTGCCAACCCCACACTTCCATCTGCGTCTGCCTGTCTGTCTGTCTGTCTGTCTGTCTGGTCCTGCGGGGTCCCTGCCAGCCCTGAGCCGAGCAGTGGGATCCAGAGCGCTTTCCCGCGCACAAGGGGGCAGTTTGGACAGGGGTGAAAGGTGGGAAAAGCCAGAGAGGGCAGGGCCTGGGGCTGGGGCTGTAGCGGACCCCCGCTCTCCTGGCCATCTGGTAGACCCCGACCCTGGTAAGTCAGGGTCTCCTGCCTGCGGACCCCTCCCTCGATGCTCGGGCTTCTATCAGAAGAGGACGGGGTGTCCGTCTCCGGGAGCACTTGGGACGCGCTCCAAGCGCGATCTGCGTGGTAGTTCAGCCCTTCGCTTCCTTTCCCTCCTCTCTGCCTGTGTT